GATGTTGGTGATTCGACCCAGCAAGGTCGATGATGTTTGGTGATCGACCCAGCAAGTCGGATGATGTTGGGTTGATCGACCCAGCAAGTGACCAAGAAGGTTGGGGGATCGACCGACCAGTTTCGATCAAGTGGGGGATCGACCCAACAGTCGATCAAGTGGGGATCGACCCAGCAAGAGATCAAGTGGGGGAGGACCCAACAAGTCGATCAACTGGGAGGATTCGACCCAGCCAGTCGATCAAGTGGGAATCGACCCAGCAAGTCGATTAATTGGGGGGATCCGACCCAGCAAAGTCGATCAAGTGGGGGACCGACCCAGGCAAGTCGATCAAGTGGAGGGATCGATTCCAGCATGCATGTCGATCAAGCTGGGTGATCGTCCCAGTAAGTCGATCAAGTGGGGGATCGACCCAGCCAGTTCGATCAAGTGGGTTGATCGACCCAGCAAGTCGAGCAAGTGGGTGACGACCCAGCCAGTCGATCAAGGTGGGGGATCGACCCAGCCAAGTCGATCAAGTGGGGGATCGACCCAGCCAGTCTATCAAGTGGGGGAATCGACCCAGCCAGTCGATCAAGTGGGGATCGACCCAGCCAGTCGATCAAGTGGGGTTGATCGACCCGCAAGTCCGATCAAGTGGGGGATCGACCAGCAAGTCGATCAAGTGGGGATCGACCCAGCAATAGTCGATCAATGGGGAGCGGACCCACCAGGACCGATCATTGTGGGGGATCGACCCAGCAAGTCGATCAAGTGGGGATCGTTCCCATGCCAGTCGATCAAGTGGGGGATCGAACCCAGCAAGTGCAATCAAGTGGGGGATCGTCCCAGCAAGTCATCAAGTGGGGCCATCGACGAGCCAGTCGATCAAGTGTATGATCGACATAGCATAGTCGATGAGTGTTGTGATCAATCAGCAGTCCGATCAAGTGGGGGATCGACCCAGCAAAGCCGATCAAGTGGGGGCATCGACCCAGCAAGTCGATCAAGGTGGGGGGGATCTATCCAGGCATGTCGATCAAGTGGGGATCGACTCAGGGAAACGAACGCATAAACCGAGTGTGTGGCTTGCGTGTCCCGCAAGTACCGCCTCCTCCGTCCGTCCGTCCGGGCTGGCCGCACGACGCCGGGCCTGGCCATGCCCACCCCGTGACAGAGGGCCCACAACAGGCGGGTGGGTGACGCAACGGCGCAGAAGTGGAAGTGGGAGGGGGGAGGTGCGAGGTGTTTTCGTAAATTTCACTTTACGACGCTCCTATTCATCCGATTTGGATGATTGTCACGGCATTGGATTCAGGAAGCATGTCGCCATCGCGCTATAAGGCCACATTTTTAAATTTGTTCTCGGAAGTTCGAGACCTAATTTCAAATTCGCGTTTTTGCTAGATTTTTGGAAAAAGGTCATCGTAGCGTAAATTCTATTTTAAAAAGGCGTCAAATGCCGTTTACAAATCGAAAATCGGACCATTGATTCAGACGTTATCAGTAAAGTAAATTCCCCTGTGATAGTCCTACGACCTATCCTGCAAGTATTTTTCGGTGCATTTAGCCTTAAGGGCAAGAAAACTTCGGAATAAAAAGACTTCGTTATACGAAGACTTTGCAATGTGAAGACTTTGGAATATGCAACTTCGGAACACGAGGATCGCACGTCGCGACGATAAAACGAAAGCTATACATTCGTTCGGTCGAAAGACTTTACAAAGTTGTGTAGATTATTACAGAACTGGAGTAAAAACTTCCTAAAATTAGTTTCGAGTGTCTTATTTGGCAAGAACACACAATAATTCTAATTGTTTTTAATTTATTTAGAATTGTGTATGATAAAGTTGGAAATGGAGCATATTCTTGTTCATGAATTGTTGGAGTTTCATTGTGTAATTTTGTTTCATGAGATTTAGGAGGTACATTTAGAGTATCTCGATGTAATTCTGTTTGAGGAACTTTCTTGATGACCCAGATCAAAATGGGCAGCACTTGAACAGGATGGTAAGAAAGTATACAATTTTAAAGATAATGTAATTGGATATTATGAAATGTGGTGTGTTGGAAGATCGCATTGAATTATATTAAGCCTGTAGAGAATGTTTGGAGCTTTTGGTAGCACACGCACGTAGTGCGCATATCACCGAGCCAAATAATTATTTAGAGTAATTTGGTTTCAAATTTTAATGGGAATGATGTATTCATAAGTGGATATAGTTTGATACCTTCTACTGTTGCTTTTTGTACTACCGATTTAAAGTGTTTTTTTGTATACTTGACCAGAACGTGTAATTGTTTCTTATTTCAATACAAGGATGTTCAGACCAAATGGTAATAGTACTGATTTCACTAGAAATTCGCCAAGGTACAGGAAACGCTTATCTGAACATGTATCAATTTGTTCGTTTCGGTGCAACGTGTTTGCTAGTCCTGTGCGCGTCTCTGGTGATATTCAAAGCCCCAGCTATTTAAAAAGTGCAATCTGTGTAGTTTATTCTTTCCCTTGGCACCTTAGGTGTTTGAAATGAATTTTCCGACGACTCATCAGAACCTACTGAAAGACACGTTTATCCACGGTTTTAGTTTAGAGTACCCTGTAGAACCAACTTGGGACCAAATTGGTTTTAAAATATGCACTTTTGCGAAGTCAAACGTTGAAAAATATGTTGCGAATATATTAATTTTTCCATTCTTTACAGAATGTCTCATTCGTTTTCCCGGAGGGCACTCTTTGAAAGATGGGTAATAAAACCCAAAAACAAAAAAAGAAAGGAATACTTTATTTGTACATATTTTGCAAGAAATGAAAATTGCAAGAAATTCTAATAGTGCTTTGCACTGTGTGAAACCCAAAGTAAAGAAATTTTGCCTGACTCTTGGTATTAAATGGGAGAAACTAAGGACGCATAAAGAACTTTTTCTTCATTTCAATTCTTCTTGGCTTGAGCAGGAGGAAATAGTATTTGAAAATATTTCCATCAATGCACTCATGCCAATAAAAACAATGGGCATTCTGCACCCAATCTTTCTTTGTTTGTAAACCCTGGGAAGGCTGCAGAAATAACTGGATTTAATCTGGAATTAATAGAGTTTCTAAATTATTTTAGAATGCATAAATTCTGGCCAGAGAATTAATTTAGCTAAATTCGAAAAATTCACTAAATATATTCGAAATCTCTGTCTGCAAAATAAAAACTGGTATCCAAATCCTGTAACCTTACACAAAATTTTATTTTATGTTGCTATTTTACAATATTCAGAAGAAGCCTAAAAAGCCATAAATAAATAAAAGAAGCAGTACAGAGAAGGCTTCACTAGGAAGGCCACCAGAATCGACACAAATACAGACCTGCTGAACAGATTGCTTTGTATGACTGATCCATATATAGCTAGTACATGGGTTCCCAAAACCCAGAAAAAGAAATATCAATGAAAAAGTGTTTGATTTCCTAGAAATGGATCAATCAACAAGAACATTTTTCTGGTATCATCAGATTTATTTGTTATTTATTTACATCACAAACAGTTAAAAACTGTGTGTGACATGTTATGGGGAGAAGTTAATTTGAAGTTACATTTATGTTCAGAAGCAAAAAAAAAAGGGGGCCATTCTAAGTTCATTATTTTCATGTTCACAGTTTGTGTTTCACCATGTTTCTTGTTTACTTCTTTTGAATTTTTTGTATGTATTGTTTAATGTTTTTTCATTGCTTTTATGGGTAAAAATTGAAATATTGTGTGAAAAGTATGTAGATACAGCATATTTTTCTATAATTTGTACTAAATAATTAATGGTCTGTTTTATTCTATTTTAACATATTTAAAATGTTGTTATAACACGTTATGTTGTATACATTTTGAAATATTTGACTTTTTTTAATAATTTAGTTAATTATAACATGATGAAAGTCGGTTCGGTTCTTTAATTTTTGCTATTATACTTTCTGCCCCATAGATGGTCAAATAACACACTGTACAGTGGCAGGACTCTCGAAACTAGCTTCTCAGCTAGGTCAAATATAGTTGCTGTCTGGAGGTGAATTGTAGCGTCCGGCTACTCTGATCCGTAGTTTTCCTTGGTTTCTTGGAACAATACCAGGCAAATGTCGGAGCAATACTCTAACATACGCCATGTACCACGATCTTTCCTACCTCTCCCTTGTCTATCTTGGCCTCGTTAAGCCTCTCTGCGCCTGTTAAGTTTGAAGTCATAAATATACCATGCCCTGCGCTCTGCCTCGGTTTGTCGTTATCGTTCGTGTTCCCGCAGAAGTGAGCCGATTGTCTGCATCATTAGTGGATAACAGCCAAAATTACTTCTTGCACTTAATATAGTGAATACATTTCCTGGCCAAGAGATGATTGTGTGATACAGTGGCGTAGCTTTAGTTGGTGTCACCCCAAGGCAAAACTAATGAAATACTCCCCCTAAATTAAATATAAAAATATCTATTATTGAATAGTTATACATTATTCAATAAAAATACAAGTATACTTGCACATGACATTTATTTATAGTATATTTAAAAACTCCAATGTAATTCACAATAATTGAAATATAATTTTGAAAAAAATAATTTAAAACGAAGTATGACTAATTGGTAAATGCATGTTTTTTATAAAAGCATTTTTCGAGTTTTATTGACAAACTCATAAAAATTTTCTAAGTGGTATCGCCCAGGGTAGACTGCCCTGTCTCCCTAACTACGCCACTGATGTGATAAATACCTTTGCAATAACAGATTACATCATGTAGTACAATGTAATTATTGAACTAAAATTTGCAAGGCATCTTGCAATAACTTTTCACACTTTTTTGTTCAATAGTGTTTTACATTTAACACTAGTTACTCTCTTACACTGCCGATTCAGGCAGCAGTGAAAAAAAGAATAAGGATGTAAAAATTATTTCATATTCATTATTTATAAATATATTTATGGTGATTGTGCCATATATTCTTTTTTATTTTAATGCAGGCAATAACAGAAAAAAGCTACAAAACTTCTGTCAAGGTTTTAAACAATACATCACAAATGTTTTCTCAAACATTACTTTAGTCATGTACAGTAACAATAAAATTTTATATCCACATTCAAAGTTCAGCCTTGCACCTCCAGAAGTACATCTTATACAAGGTTTGTGCAAAACATGATAATTACATATTTATATTGCTCTGTTTTTTACAGCATTATATTGACATATTGAGTTTCAGTATTAATGCAGTAAGTCAAATGTATAATATAAATAATTAATATTTATACAAATAATGGCTATATTGCATCTACAATACTGCTAGACTTTACAGACTTTTGGTCCCTTCAAATGTAACTGAAAAAATCAAATAACTATGATACAACAATGAACAGACCAAAACTCAATGTAACATAACATAATAACATTCCATGTACACAAGTTTGCAGAACCAATTATTATAATTATTTCAGTGTCTATATAATGCCTTCTTTCATTTCACTTTCTCCCTGTGTTTTTTAATGCAAACTTTTTGGTTGTAATCAGACCTCTATGATATTATGATCAGATCTCTATGATCTCTTCCAGATTGAAAATCTTAAAATCTAAACACACTATGAAAGTTTATGAAATGAGGAATTATATGACTAGCTACACAGCACCTACTCATTCCACACTCACACAACACAAGACACATTGGCTTCGATATAGTGTCAACAGGCATTTTGTCCAATGCCCTGTATATTCCATATATTAACATCATTACCATCTATGTACAATTTAGGTATTGCTCTAAATACTATATTAATACAACAATTGGTAATGTGGGTTTTGGCACTGTGTTTACAATAATGAGCCAGTAGATGCAAGAGCTGGCAATCTACAATCAACACAATTGACCCAAAGATTTGCACATGCTGCGTGATACACTTGACCGCCGTATTCAAGTGGATATATATTATTATGATTATTCTGAACAATTTCACTTCCCACACTAGTAAGGCAAATTCCACAAGCAGATTGTTCTTGGCTTCCCTCCACAGCATTACAACCAAATTCCATATCAGCAACCTGCAAGAAAACATCCAAGTAGGATATTTAGAGAGATAATCCAGAATTTCATCGACAAACAGTTTTACCTTCCAATCCTTACATAAATAAAACCTCAATCCATGTATAAAAATGTGCATCTGTCTTACAATAATAAATATGTATTCTTCTGTTGTACCTTCAATTCAGCTTTGGTAAAATATGGTTCCATGCTGCTCCATACCATGTCCACTTCTGCTAGTACGGAATCCAGTTTTGAATCCGATGTTATTCCAGATGATGATTGTTTCACCCTCCTACATATGCCATATACTTCCAGCAAATCTGTAAAATAAAGCATATTCTTATTTTACAGAAATTCTTTGAATATATTTGTGCACTTTCCAATGAAATTTCCTTCCTGTCACAACTTACTCAGTAAATATTCTTTGCCTTCGTGGGCAGTCACTACCTCTTCCATGATGGAATCATTTGAGATGCTGGTAAATGTGGCTAACGCAGCTTGCAATAATTGTAGACAGCTTTGCAAACATCGGCACCATTCTTTTATTTGAAGGTCTATACCCTGTAAATTCCAGATGTGTGGAGAACTCTCAATAACAGTGAGACTTATATTTAAAACAAAAAAACTCATAAATGTAATGCACAATTTGCAGCAATAATTATAATGAAATTTTTATTTTTCCAATCACTATAGTGCTACACTCCTTGCTGTCTTAAAAATCAAAGCCTGATTTTCCAGCAATTTTCAAATATACTGTTGTATACAATTTTTAATATCTTAACTTCAATTAATATCATCTTAAAACTAATTACCTCGATAATTAAAGAATTTTAAATCAAATTACTGAACTCCAAGATAATAATGATAAATTAATCTCATGTGAACTACTTAGTTATTAATATTTGAGACAACTTAAAGTGATGGAAATGTATACCCATACTAAAAGATCTGTCAGATTGGTGGTTTATAATAAATTAAAAACAAAAAATTTTTACTATGAAATACAGTCTATTAAGATCTTCCGAATTTCAACCCCCCAACAATTTGGGATAAATTAAATTTTTCAAACATACTAATATGAGCAATAATAGCTGCAGTTTGTAAACTTGGTGGCACCTTTCAATCTCAAGAACTTAACAAGGCAGTTGCAAAAGCCAAAACACCTTGTATACTTCTCAATTGATCCTATCTGAACAGAAAAGATTCCACCTGCCACAACACCCCCACATAGATCTTACTTTGTAAAAATCAAAATTCCCACACACATTCAAATCAAATATGGTTGGCACATATTTATGAAATTCTCTGATAACATGCCATATATAAAAAATTAATACAATAGTATACACACCTATATATTATTTTTTTATATATGGCAGAAGATGTAGAAGGGCTGGATGTTTAAAAGATATTATGCACATTCAAGAACCACCAAAGACAACTAATAATACAAACAGAAAAAAGGGTTTCTGAAGTTAATAATTTTATTATAAAACAACAACTTTAGAAACTTTACCTGTGGGGAACAGTCCCATGGTTGCACCAATCCAGCCTTGTCTGCTCCACCAGGAAAGATCTTTAAATCAAGACTTGGAAGAGATCCGTGACGACTCAAGACTGGTAGCTCTAGGCTGCTAACAGATTGCGTATCACACGTAGCATCCTTCACTCTCAACACAGCTTGACCCTCGAAAGCAGTCTCCTTTGCAGTGAACTTGCTGTCATCAGGCCAAGCCTCAGGTCCAATGAACTCTCCAAATTCATCATCCTCTTCTGTCTTGATAACAAAGGAGCCATTGTCTGCTTGTGGTTCGTTTTCTAAAACAAATAAATCATTTTTGGGGTTGCCGATTACTTGGTTGTGGTCGTTATATATTTTGCCAAGAAATGTTAAACCATAACCTTTGAAAGTACTTTGGCTTTGGGAAAATTCGTCGTTGGGCTCCATCCAGGTGTCACTCGCAGAGGTGCTGGGAGCAGGAGATGCAGTACCAGTTTCCAAGAGAACAGCACCTTTCTCAACTTCTTTGATTCCCCCTTTACTAATAGCATTCCATGAGAAGTCGATGCCTGCAGTCTTCAAATCTAGCCCTTCCAATGCAGAAGATATGCCTGAAACTGGGGTTGTGCTCAAAAAATCATTAGAAGTACTTGTACCAGCTGATACCCTAACTTCAGGAGTGCTTTCAAACGTTCCCCAATCATCAAGCTGAAATTCTGCACTGTGAGATTCAACACTAGCAGATGGCCAGAATGAATTTGTTCCTAAAACAACTTCACCAGCTTTTACAGCAGGTTTTACATCTCTTGCTGCTAATGCTGCAAACGAATCTTCTGCAGAACTTGGTTCTGCAGACAGGAAATCGCCGAAGTCATCAGGAACAACCTCCTTGGAATCTGTTGGCTCTTGGTCTGCTATAGACAACGCCCGCAAGGCACTATATTTGTCTTCTTCAACAGAGAGAAGCTCTGGCTGTGAGTCAGTTGATATTACTGGACTAACATTAGTATTAAAAGCTGATGACTGAAGGGACATTCGAGAATCGACAGTAGTGTTGGTTTCCTTTTCACTACACACTACATTTACTTTCATATGTACAGGACTATCAAAAATGTTACTTGATTCTAATTTGTCAGAACGAATCGCACTTTCTTTCAACATGTATGGTTTCTTGGGTGGAGTCTTCACAGAACACTTGGGGAAAATTTCACCTGTACCTACAGATGATGCCTGGGTTATCACTGGTTCTTTAGCTTGCTGAAAATCTGAAAATTCATCCTCTTCTTGCAATGTTGTCTGAGCACTTTGCTGCCCCCCGTGATCAGCATTTTCTTGTAACTGCGAAGTTTGTTGAGCCGAAGACCCGTGGACAGCACGATGATGGTGGTGGTGATGGTGGTGATGATGGTGATGTTTGTGATGGCGACTTTTGGTTTGCTTAGGTGCTCCCAAAGAGTGATTTGCTAATCTACTGCCAATACCTCTGCTACTGCTACCAAGGGAAAAGATACTTTGAAACTTGTGGCCATCTGCCGATGGTGAAATGCCTTGAAATGCTACAGAAGGAGTGGATGAAGTGGTCTCTTTCAGGTGTATCGGACTGTCATGTGTAGGCTCAGGATCTGATTGGGGCTTGGGTTCCTGTGGGCACGCAGCACTCTGAAAATCACTGAAGTCATCAAATGATTCTTCTGAAGGTAGTGACGTAGAAAAGGAAGTTGACGTTGGAGATTCACTACTAACTGAACTACCAAGACCAAGCACTAGAGAGGTGTCTTCAACAGGGGGTGGCACAGACACTTCTGTTCTCGAGGCAGGTGGTTGAAAAGAACCGAGATTCAAATTTGGAATTGGTGCTTGGGGTATAAGATTCAATACGTTGAGATTATTAAATGTACAACCACTCTGAAAAAACAAAACAAACATTAATTTAGGATTTACATTTATTCCTAAAATCAACATTTCTTGATATGAGAAAAATTACACAATATTGTACAGACTTGAGTCCTATGTAAAACTGAAAATGGCAAGAAAATCATGACAAAAAAATGCATGATGGAGTTTAAACCAAGTTAAGAATAAAAATAAGAATATATTGAACAAGGATAAAGTTCTCTCATGGTCTTCTAATTCTATTATAAATAAATATATTTTCTGTAGTAATAAAAGGTAAAATTCAAGACTGTAAATCCATCAAAACTAATTAGAAAAGAAAAAAAGAGAGAGAGAGAGAGGGAGGGAACAAAAAAGGGATGAAAAAAGCATACAACTCATTACCTGGTAGAAAATGTATGTTCTGTTATCATTGTCCTAAGTTTCATTATTAGAAAACTAGTGCCCCCCCTTAAGTCTAAATTAGGGATTTGAATTTAATAGGAGCTATTCTCTCAAGAAAACTATTTGAGATGCTCACACTAATCTGATCATGTTGCCAAAGAAAAAACGTCCCTTGTTCAGGCTTGTACAACAGGAGTAGTTATTTGAAGAAATTAAGTTAAGGAATTGTACGACTCCCTCCTGTGCTCAAATTTCAGAACAGATGTCACCCACTCTATACGAAAGTCAAATTTTGCTACGTTATCTGGGGTAAGATTTAAAAAAATGGAAAATAGAAATAACACAAATAATGAGAGTATATTTCAAATTCTACAAATAAAGGTGCATATTTACCTGCGCCAGTCCAACAAGAGCTAAAACTATGTAGAGCTCATCTTCTGTCAGCTGCCCAGCAATTTTTTGATTGGCAAGACCCCATATATAACCAAGCACATCTGTGGGCAAACCACTTGTAAGCAGTAAGGGAAAAATTTTCGCAGTATCCACGAGGCCCTTGTCCATTCCCACAAGTGTCCAAACATGACGATACAAAGGAGGAAGACTAGGGGATTGGGAAGACAGCCAGGCAGGTAACTGAAATACTACTCTATTTTCTTGAGGTGCTCTCTTCGGAAGTCCACTTCCAGCATCAGAAGTGCTTGAAAGAGGGGCAGTTGAATGGTGCTGGGGAAGAGCTGAATATGCCTGAGGGTAGTGCAGTGACCTTGCTGATCCTGTTCCCAATACAGAGACTTGGGCTGGAACACTCTGACGTGTAGGAATCTAGAAGTAAAATATAAACATTATGTTCAGTTAATGTCATTTCTTCAAACATATTATTGATAATGTTGGAGCAACATATCCATGCCAACTCTTCACGATGTGTTCTCAGAAAGTTAAACTTGAAACATAATTTTTTTATGTAAGAAAGATGCTTCAAATTCATACATGATGTTAACAAATAAACTGACTGGTATGAAAAGCCACTCACACAGTTCAAGATTTCAAAAAATTAATTTCTCTGAAAGAGTTTAAATACGCGATCAGTATTCACTTTGGCTTAATATTAGCTCAAAGTTGAATTATATACAATATTTTTTTTTAAAACTAGCACATTTTTTAGATTCAAAGAATGTGTTTGACTTGCAAAACATACTGCAAGTAATACCTTATGAACAATAAGTAAATAATTGACTTTCGTGAATGATTGCATGAGCCAATTAATTTATAAAAGGAAATATATTGGCATATTATATATTTTCATACAGAGAAACATATTCATTTAATAAGCAATTAGTAAGTGCTTCACAATATTTCGAAGGCCTGGTACACACATTTCACACATCCAGAATTCCTGGTTTTGAGAAAACCAAGGTTGAAAATTTGTAACATAGTTCCTTATGAACTACTATTGTTACTACTGTAGTTAGCTTTCTGTGAAAAAATCACGATTCCTCTTATGTAGTCAAACAATCCCTCTTATGTACACTACGAAGATATAAACAAGGGATTTCCAGAAATGATATTAACTCAAAAATGAACACAAGTGGACATGCAAAGTTTGTGCACTGTGCCAAAGACATGATTTACTGTTCCTCGGTTCTGAGCTTTGAAAATCATTCAATTATGTTGCTCATGTTCAAGTTCATTTAAATTAGTTTTCAAAATCTCAATCTTAATACATTTTAACTAACATCAATATGGAAAAAATGTAACGTACCTGAACATTAGGCATGGCGGCTGATGCAGTAGGTGGAAGATTAGTTCTCGGTCTAAACATATCTTTAGTTTCTAATAAATTTTCGATCAGTTTATCTGCATTTACAGGCTGGTGAATAAACAAACATGTTACACTCACGAAGAGATAAATTTGATTCTTTCCTGTTGTCAGAAATACTGAGACATGACAGTTTACCTTATTTGTTGTAGCAGCCATAAGCCTTAATTTCTGTTGCTGTTTAAGGTATTCTCGCTGCCTTTGTTCTTCTGCCATTTGAAGTTGTTGAGGGCGATTTAGTCCAGGAGCCTGAGGTTGGTGCTGCCACATGTTCATTGTGGGAAATCCAGTGGAATTTGCTGGGGCCATACCTGGTCGAGTTTGAGGATGGGAAAAAGGATACCTAAAACAGAAAGTAAACAAATACCTATTCAGTTCCGAACAAAAATTAATCTGTCACTGACATGTCAATAACAAAACTTGTTTTCGTTGTTTGCTTCTTAAATGTCAGTAGAAGTTTCCCAATAACGTTACCTGTTGGCCATTGCTTCAGATCAGACGCTTATAAGAAGTCACTGTCAACGATAAGTTGAAAACACGCGATAAAATACTACAAGATAATTACTACGAATACTGGTTTACGCCCATCGCTCACAAACTTTCCTGAAGGGCACATGAACAGCTGTTCGCAGCTGAAAACCCGAGTTGACGGCTCGGATGGCGATGTACATTCTGTGGCGAATGCGGGCGTGTGCAACTGTGCGCAACTGCCAAGTTGATAGCGGTTCGTGTTGAATAGACGGCGAGGGCGGGACGAACGGGCATGGAGGTGCAGGTGGTTATTGGTGGTTATAGTGCTTTTGGGACATCATAGGGGTTGTTAGCGGTGGCACTGCAAACTCTGAAAAATTAATAGTAAGAAAGTGAATTCTCTTTTGGCAAAACATTAAGTGGATTTGGCTGATTTCAGATCAAAGTATTACTTCGAATTACTTTTTGCTCTGGCGTCAAGGAATTTTTAAGTAGGATCGAGAATAAAACATGAAGTTCGCCATTGTATGTGAAGAATATTGAATATATGGTTAACTATGGACCATGAAGCTGTGGTGTGAAGGGCAAGGTGTTTTTACGTGTGAATCTAGGTTGCAACTTGACTTGGCTTCATAGAGTTGAGTGATTACATTCATTTGTGCCTGTTTGAATGGTTTGAGGTTATGCAGGAAGTTGCATTATTTCTACATTTTCAAGAGATATGATTAAAAAATTCAAATTAAGTTAATCAATCATGGTGAGAATTAAATATTAAATAATGGACTGTAATATACAATGAATATTGTGTATTTTCTTACTATAAAATGGCAATCTTTTAATTTGGTTTCCAGGCAAGTGACAGTGAATCCTTAGCTGCTTTAGAAATTCTAATGAATGAATTCTTTGCTCCTCAAACCAGTAACGACAGGAAACGTGAGATTGAAAGTCTCTTACACAATTTTAGTAGTCAACAAGGGGCATGGAAACATTGCCTGTACTTCATGTCAAATTCTTCAAATCATTTTGTTTGCATGTATAGCCTAACTACAATTGAGGTGAGTTTACTTAATTGATTATATGTGTCAATTAACTAGAATTAGAACCTAATGTAAAGGTACATTTTCCCATACACTAGGAAGCAGAAAATTTCATTTTATAATTTATTTTAATCATATATTATATAATAAGTTTTGATGTCATTGTAGCAAAGTTTATTTCTATCAATATGTAAAAAGAACTTTGTGACACAGATTCATGTCTTGTGACTGCTTTGCCTAAATTGTAAACTTATTTTTCTTGTTATGGTTAATCCCTACATTATGAATCTATAATTACCAGCACACTGTCTTCACTTTATCTTGCACATTAATTGATGAACTTGAGAAATAAGCATTGTGTGTTCTCAAATTTGGCAGTTTTTCTACATTTTCTCTCACAGAAATTAGACTGAAATTCCCAGGTTTATACTGGTTTTCCCTAATGCATGTGATAAACCATCAAATATTAGTGAAAGATGAATTAAATTGGTGCCCTTGGTACCTTTTTGGCTGTATGACTTCCTTACAAAGTGCAAGATGTAAATCATATGTGTGTAGGGACAGGAATCATTCACAGGAGTACCTCAAGGATCTCTCCTAGGTCCATTAATTTGTTCTAATCTTTAAAAGTGACATCAAATTTTCCCCTCCATTTTGTTCTATTCTATTCTGTGGGGACAATAAAGAAGTCAATTTTATAAGTGATTAGCAGATTTTTCAATTCTTTAAATTTGTAGGGAGTGTCAGAAACAAATTGTTCCCTAATGAACTAAAATGTAAAAACATGGTATTTTCTAACAAGAGTACTAATTATTTTTTCAATTACTCCCTCAATGATCAAATTAAAAAATTCCTTTTTTGATCTTTCATTAAAACTTCAATATTATACTGCTTAACTACTAATTATTAAAATTTCTAAAGAGAATACCCACTGAACATGTTAATGTCATCACATCATTAGAATCCTGTACATTGCTCTAGTTAAACAAATTGTGGTATATGAGTCCCTCATTGTAATATAAAAAATTCACTCAGTTCAGTTACAGTTTTTTCACGTATGTAGCCAATAAGTGATGAAAACCTTATCCGGGAAGATTATTTATTTTAAGTATTTACAGGCAACAGTACAACTACTATCTCAAAATTATTATCAGATAATGACTGTTTTGGTTATTAGCACATTAGAATCCTACTGCAGATATAACAATTTGTATTTCTTATGGAAATCATTCATATTAATATCAACTGTACTAGAAAAAGAGAGAGAGAAAAAACATTTTTATATTACTAATCACCAAAACTAATTGTTGGCTTTCCACACTCTTGTGATGCATGTATTATAGACTTGGTATATATTTTAAAATTAGTATGTGCATTACAAAAATGTCCATTTAAAAATATATAAATTTTGATATATTATATGTGTTGTTTTTTTGTTTGTTTTTTTTGTCAGAAAATAATTACAAAGCAATGGCTTGGTCTGATGTGGGAAGACCGTGCTCAGTTGAAAGCTACACTGTATCAGTTAGCTCTGGAACATCATCAAACAGCTCCAAATTTTATACGCAACAAGTTAGTGAAGTTAGTGGTTGATATTGCTCGACTTGATTGGCCTCACTTTTATCCAGACTTTTTCACAAACATTCTCCAGGTTGGTTTTCTATGGTACACATATATACAAACTTTTTGTTTGAACACATTATTGGTATAAGCTTTATTATTATTCTTGCAGTTGATTCAGAACTCTGAAACCACTGTTCTGGGATTAGTATTTCTGCAAACAGCTTCAGAAGAATTAGTTTGCCCTTGGGAGGACCTCAGTGTATCCCGTAAAGAAGAATTGCGACGACTGTTGTTAGCTCACATTCCTCAAGTATTTTCAATTCTTACAGGTGAGAAAAAAAATTACTTATTTATCCATATATTTAGAAATGTTGTTTAATTTGTAAGGCATAATGGATGTATTATGATAATCAAGAATTTCTTTCATTTATCTTGAAATATGGTTAAAAAATAACTTAAGAAACATATTTTATTTTAATACAAGTTTTTAAGTCTTAAAATTCTTAGTTCGTATAGAATAAAAAGGATATTTAATTTGGTATGCTTTGAAAGAGCCAACATTGTAATTTCACTTGGGATGTAGACAAATTATATGTTACAGAAAGTTTTCAGGAGCTCTGGAAACAGCTGTCTATTTATTTTTGGTTAATTTTTAGCATTTTATTTACTTGCTTGCTCCTTTACTCATTCGCTTCTTCACTCCTTCATCCCTCGCTCCCTCACTCCTTCATTTACTCATTCGCTTCTTAACTCCTTCATCCCTCGCTCCTTTACTCCTTCATCCCTCGCTCCTTTACTCCTTTATCCGTCACTTCTTCATTCTTTCATCCCTCACTCCTTTACTCCCTTGCCGTTTACTCCCTCACCATTCATTCACTCTCCCTCCCTCCCACGCACAGCACTGTCATATAAGGGTGTTTAGTTGTGAACTTAGAGCTGGCCCTGGTTGGGCAGTGACCTGGTGGGAGATAAGTGGAGGGGAAATATCCTGCAAGCCAACACGTAGGTAGGGTCAGCTGATCTCTCATTCCAGTGGGGGAGGAACGCTTAGCTCCTGGATTGACAGACATCATCAAGCAGGCACGGGACTAATGCCCAAAATAGTTTTCACGTACACTCATCCTATTTCATAGTGATGTATTTTGTTTGCAGCCTTCACGATTAACAAAGAGAATTTAACTTTATTATTGTTTATTATTTGCATTTATTTCAGCACTGCTGGAACGAGTAGCACAAAAGCAAAGGCATGGGGTAACTGCTACTCCTCCTCCGTCTCCTACTCATGGCCAGCCCAATTCAACATCTCCTGTGCACTCAGGTACTCATTTTTTTGTATTATCTTTTAGACAAAAAATAATTGAATTTTATGTAAAGACAAACCAAGTCAAGTTAACATCTAGTTAATTAGTAAATGATGGAATCTGAATCAATATTATTAGGTAAAATATAAAATTGTGTATGTTCCACTAGTGTTAAGAGGTTCTAATGAATCTTGGAGGAAGCTTTTTGTCATCGCTAGATCATTATAACACCCTGGGTGCATAAGTAACTGTTTTACTCTCTTTTGTATTTCATTCAATTTTATTGGCCCTGCCCCCTTGTAGTCCACTCTGAATGAGGTGGTGATCAGTCTAAATAAATAAAAAAAAATTGATATTGAATGGAACACATCTGCTTAATTCTTCCTACTCCAGGCAATCTAGGTCTAAAAAAATTAGTCAACCACATTGCATGTTCTTTGATCATACATGGATTTTCGGCTACATTATTTATAAGTTTCTAATCCTTTCTTTGCTTGACTTCTAGTAATTTCTTTTTTATAAGTCTGTTAAATTTTTCAGGTTCTCTCTTAAGCTCAATGTTTGGAAGCAGCAGATGTAGTTTGGAAAATGATAGTGATTCTATTGCTAGCCTCACTCTCCAAGCCTTGGCACATCTGTTTTCATGGGTGCCACTTGCATCTTACATCACTCCTAACCTGGTCACAGCCCTCTTTCAGCTGGCAACCATTACTCAGGCAAGTAAAGCGAATATTAAAAAAATCTATATTTACTGCCCTTATTCAGGGTGTTTTAATACAAAATGTGTAAACTGTTGACATGAAATAAACTTGCATCATTTCACAAAGATAATGTTGAAGCTGTCTTGTTTCTCAAATTCAGTATACTCTCAAAACTACATTTCTGTTTACTTAGATTGAACTTGTAATGACTCTGGAAATGCAACATGCAGAAAAGCTCTTGAAGGTGCACGAGTTGCTATTTTGTCTCCTAGTTTTATTTTATAAAGAGTTATCAATTGAATACTAGCTTCATTGTAATATTTAACAATTGCTATATGTATGTTGGTATAGTTAACTGAATTTTTTTAACTTCCAGGTGCTAAAAGAAGAAACACAGCCAGAAATCCCTTCTAAAATATTTCTTAGAGTTGGGCGGGGTTTCAATAGTTCAGTAAACCTGTTCTTCCAATCTTGCAAAAAAAATTGTACTGTAATTTTGTTTCTTTTTTGCTTATTGTCATTTAAATAGTGTTTTAATAAATGTGAGGGAATTATAATGTTTAATTGTGTTGTATCATTGAAAAATAATTTGTGAAGATGGATTTGTTCTTGTTAATTCATTTTAATTTTTTTTCATTTCAGAGTTCTCCAAGAGATGAAGGTCAGTGTGTCGGAACTTTGGCTATGGCTGCTGTCAATGAAATAATGTATAAAAACTGTGTTCCTAGTTCTTGTGAAGAATTTCTACTCAATTTATTTCAGCAGGCTCTTCACTTATTACACAATTTACTGCAGTCAGGACATTTAGACCAAATTGATGAAACGTAAGTGTAATGTCAAAAATAATTTATATAGTTTAACTATTGCAATTGTTTTATGTAAGTATGAGAATCACTACATCTTAATATTACTGTATTTACCTAAATATAAGTTAGCTCTGAATGTAAGGCGACCCACCGGGAGGTAGCTCAGGGCATCAACTGATGTCACTGCAGTGCCTCTGGTTGGGAGATCATAGGTTCAAGTCCCATTGGTAGCAGAATGGTATGTTTTTGACACTAGCTAAAGTGAAAATCCGTTTTTTTCATTTTGCATTTATACTTTTTCACGTTAATATTTTGTTTTTTGTAAGTCCCAGATAAATTATTATACTTCCCATGCTATATTATTTCAGATGTGTGTTTTACATATATGTTTTCCTTGCTTATATGTTCATGATGAAAGTCCCTTTAAGATCATGTAACATTCAAAATGATGTAAGTGAGAAAATGAATGTTATTGTTGAGGAACACACGGAATTGTTAAATTCAGTATACAGGTTATTTAATTTGGTCCCTATGCAGTGTGTTTCAACTGGTTTCAACTCTTCAGTTTGGAATTTTGGTCGAAACTACAGGATGAACATGTATGGGCACTAGTGTCGTCCGGTGTGACATTGTATAACGTTTACCAATAATTCGGCGCATTTAAAGGAAATAATGAAATTTGCTGAATCAAAGACTAATAATGACAATTTGGCCTTTGTCACACGTGTGTTGCGTTGATGCATGTCACCTAATGCTGATGACATCAGCTGCGTCAATGCGGTGCACAACGCACATCATTTATTAACATTGTATCTAATGCGAAACTGCACTCAAGCACTCAAAAGCTAGAAGTGTTACATGTTAGCTTGAACTATGGGCACAATCCTCATCAGAGCGCATGTCTTATATTTGGGTTCATATAGTAAAAGTTTTAATTTTTAAAAATTGCTAAGTTCAAATTTTTTTGAACCTGCCTTGTATTCTTATTTTTGTAGTACAAATATTGTCCAAACATACAAATCTTGTCTCTGAACTGTTTAACCAGATAGAGTGCAATGAACTGAATTGTATAGTTTAAGTGTAATTTTCATTAGGACTTTTAAATTTTCAAAAATTACATGATGCAACTTTTTTCAAATCTCACACACTTTGCTAAAATTATATTGCAGGTGCATTTCATGCTTCAATGCAATTTGGAGACAAAAGCTTTGAATGATCTCTAATGAAGTTTTTCAAAATCTCATAAGGATTTGAGCGCAATGGAACTAAAAAAGGCACAATTTCAGAATTATTCAAAATAGAAGTGGATTAATAATATGAGATAAGAGAATAATAAGAATACAAAAAATCATGCTGTATTGAAGCACTGTTAGTTTACAATTTATAAATACAATGCTCGTTCCACAATTAAAATGTGTATAGTGCTTCAAAGTTGTTGAATCAAATCCTGTTGTTGTATTAGACAGGGAAAACAGGGAAAAATCAATTTTGTTAGGGAATTTCATTGCTTATAATTGTTGGCCATTATTGATAATAGTTGATGTAACAAGATATTAAGAGGTTAATTATTTATACACCAAATAATTGCTCAAATTTACCTATTGAAACTTTTTTTGCTAGTTCAATATTTCATTATGTGTATGAATACATGAAGAGTTTATATTCCAACATTTGAAATAATAACTCTTCCTCTTTAGTATTATTTCAATTAAAATAGTATATATATTATCTTTCAGGTACTTGGAGAAAGTGACAGAATTTCTGCGTCTTTTTGTTGGTCTTCATCTTCGTCGGTTGGAAAACAATTCTAGATTTCCAATTCTTGAATTTCTTACTTTACTATTTAAGTACACATTCCAACAGACAAATTTGGAAGGCTATTATAATTGTCTTGATGTGTGGACTATTTTCCTTGAGCATTTGCAAACTCACAAAGCATCTATTGAAAGGTATGGTTGTTTTTTAATGTTGAAATATTTAATATTTTAACTTGTATTTTTCAGGAATATAAATATTTTTATTTTTACTTCAGGTATAATGATGCTTTGGTTTCTCTTGTGGGGCAGATTCTTAGGAAAACTCAATTCAAATACAATCAAGCTCAATTGGAAGAACTAGATGATGAATCACTTGATGATGATGTAAGTCTCTTTCAGCATATGTAGTTTAAGGTTTTGTTCAGTTAATCCTGAGCAAACACATGGATAAAATGTAATCTATTTGTGCGACATCTGATTTGATTAAAAAAAGGGTGGGTAATGGTGAATCAAGGCCTTTCTTTTTTTTTTTTTCCCCCCTTTGAGAAGTAGTCTTGTTCGATGAAGGATAATATTCTGCATTATTCAGTAATAATTGTCATGTGTTTAGTAGGTTCTGTGTTGCGAAGAGCTTTTGTCAACAGTTGATTAGTTTTCAAAATGTAATGAGTGCAAAGAAGTTCTACAAGCAATCTGTTGCACTGCAGTGATGAATGATTTGTAAAGTGCATCAAATACCTCCTTGATTTTAAAGAAAACAATTTATATGCAATAAAGAAGAGTAATGATTAATTATATTAATTATTTCTGAGTTAAATCAAAAAGTTTGCAAACCTGTTTCTTCTCTATGCACTTGGCAAGTTAGTAGGCCATGTAAATATTCAATAATTTGTTAAATACTCAATTCACTTGGTAGTGGTAATCATAATATGCCGTTTCTTTAAGGGAAATATATTCACTTTCTTGGCGACTACCAGATGGGAACAATTCATTGCTGGTGGTGTGTTCAGAGAAATGGCTTTCTTGAGGTTTTAAATAAGTAAGAAGAGTAATGCATTTTTGTTATTTATTTGCAAATAAATGTGCAATATACTAATATTTGTAATAAATTATTTTATTATTAATAGAAACAAACAGAATGGCAAAACTTTCTAAGGCAAAATATAGAAGTGATAGCCAAAGTAGCTGAATTGTTACCAATGGATACATACAATCAAGTGGTAAGGAATATTATATATTTTTTTTCATATTGTATACAATGTAAACTAAAACAAAACTGAAGGGACTAAGTACTTTCATTCATTAGAGAGAATTTTCATTACATGGAGTTTATATTAAGATATAAGTTATAAGTAGGGCTGTGATTTATATGCAATAAAAACAGAAATATGCACATATATATGTAAATATATTTGATAATATATGCAATTAAAAAAGGAAAATATACAAAATACTGTAATGTAATGTGTAAGTGTAAAAATAAATAAAAAGTGTAATGTGGAAAATATTTTTACAGCAAAAAAAAAAGCATATAAATTGTTACAAATGATAAACATTGAGTCAAGGGCTTCATTTTGAAGAACACTAATTTCTTTGCAAAATAATGGGAGATGTTAATGTACAAGTCACAACCTAAAAAAACATAGGTTTGCAACAAAAATATGGCTCCTTCTCAATTTATGACAAATTCACAGGCCTGACTCTTTTTAATACCACTTTGCCTTTGCGCGAAGTGTGGCCACGCAAAGGCACTCGATGTATGTACATTTCATTTCGACTGCAACATAAACAAATCCTCAGATGCCTATTGCTCCAGAGCAGGTCACTTGATGTACCGTTGTATGTAGTGAGATAAATGTTAGAGCCACAAGCTGACTGTAACTTTTGGGCTTCTTTTCACGGATGAGGGGTGAATTTGCAGCAAAAATATGTAAATATCACCCAAATATCCAAAAATATACAATTATGGTGATACATGCGAAATAAAAATAGCTTTAATTGATTCTAAATGCCTCAAAATGTATATATGCAAATGCATCTAAATCACAGCTTTAGTTATAAGGGAAACCAACCAAACTCAAGTAATGTATACATTAGAGGAAGTTTATTTGTTATAAAGAAGTTTACATTCTATATTATTAAATGTTGTTATTTATACAAATTACTTTTCTTACATGAAAGTATGAACCTTGGAAAGAATCAGTTATGGTCTACATGAGATTAGAAAGAGCTTTGGAAGAAAATGAAGATTGTCGTAAGTTGGTTGTTACTGCAGAACATGAGTGCCTTCGCCTACATTGTCTACTTAGAGATTTGTCTTCTCTTACCCAAGCAGTGGGGCGGATGTATCCGCACTTCATAGGTAAATATTTTCCTTATTGAGACAATGCACCATCTACATTTACATTAATATTTAATAAAAGTAATACAATTGTTTTCCAATAAAAATGTTTGAGTGTTTACCTTAAAGTAAAAAAAGATGTAGAAGAAATAGAATTAATCACTTAGTGTTAAATTTCTTACTGTTTTAATTTTCTTAGATCTTTATGATCTACTTCAATCTACTATTTGTATGTAGTTCATTTTTGAAGTGTTGTTTTTATCTAAATGTAATGAAAGTTTTTCCCTTGGTGGTTTGTTTGCAAAAACAAAAAAGGGGTCATCATATAATTGAAGATTAAGCTTAGAAGATTTGAATCTATATTTTTTCATTTGCTTTTCCATGTTGATAAATTCAAAATGATGAAGTAACAACATTCTGCTGGTGATACCAGTAACACTTAATTCTATTCATCGACATTTTCTTGATATCCACACAGATGTGCTGTTTCTATTCAGATCATGGATCACAATGCAAATTTGAAGTTAGTGGTTGTAAAAGAAGCAGAGACCACAAACAACAACAAAACGTAGCTAGATGAAAACATAGTATTGCAGAAGGAACAAAATCTTGTAAATTCAACACTTGAAACCTTTGGGAGACATTTGGGGAAGATTTTATGAGTTAGACTAGCAACTTGAGGGGAAGTTTTGAGAGAATACAATGAAGGCTTCCCCATCATTCTAGAAATTATATTAATGCAGGTGATTTAGCTAAAGATAATTTCTTCTACAAGTGGTGAGAATTTTAAAGAGAATGTGGACTGATGCCGAAGAATGACGAGGAGAGCTGACATTAAGATAAAGAACAACAACTTTCTGCAGCTTGTGAAGAGAAATTAATTGCATTTGAGCATCAAGAACTTCAAATTATGTAAAGCTTGACCACTTGCTCAGTGAAATCAACGATGCTGATCATGTGTCCATTTATTTCAATATCCCATCTAATGGAAAGAAACAGAACTAATAGCTCTAAAAGTGTTGTGATCAAAAGCACCAGCAATGAATGTGCTAGAATTGCGTTAATGTTGTATGTTTGAATGATGGCAGGAAGCTGCACCCATATGTGATGGTGTATTGGAAAACAATGCTGTAAGACAAACTGCCAACAGTGCTTGTTTTATGATGCTAAGAGAAAGGGTAGATGACCAATGACGTAACGTTAGATTGGTTGAAAGTAGTTTGAAATACAAATCAGAGCATTTGGCTGTAGGGGAGAGGAACATTAGAAAATCGTACCAATATTCTGGTTACGAGTGAAGCATGATGTTCACTTTCTAAGAACCCCCATCCAGTCAGCATTACCAACCTTACAAAAAAGTAAAAGGGCCACAGGAATCATAAGAACGGAGAAGTATGAAGTAAACAAAGTTGTTATGAGACTAATTTATGTATTTTTAATACAGAAGTAGCACACAATTCAATAATTGTTTGTATGGACTCCAGTTTCAGGATTCACAAAGTAGTCTGTCATGTGAGTGATGTTATTTTGATGAAAACAAACAATAGTACTAAAATATTGAATACAGCAAGGCACAGACATAAAAAAAAATGTGTTCAGTATGGCAGCCATTTTGAACTGTCTCCCACCATGACTTTCTGTGTTGTTTTTCTGTCATGAAAATATACCAAAGAAATAATTTGGAGTTCAAGAAGTCGCACAGAAAGGGCACTGCAGTTCCTTTGGAACAAGGTTTTGATTCACCACCCAGCCAACAGCAAGTTCTGTTGAGGCAATTGCTGATAGCTGTATTAAATTGAACCTCTACTCCTTCAAAACTCAACTATGAATTCACATATGCATTGCACATTGTAGTGAAACAGCAAGTGAAGTCCATACTTGGGTAATTGGAAGAAGTGGAGTGAATTTATGAACATGTGAATACTGCAGTGTAAAATACTTTCTTGCATTATGTGTAATTTTTGCACATTTTGAAAATTCAGTTTAACAAAGATTAGACCAGCATAATTTTTTAAGCTTTTTTACTTCAAGCAAAAATTAAAACAATAAAAAGTACTTATTTTTTCCGTAAAATTAACACAACCTAATTTAAAGATCTAATTATTTAGAACAGATTTCATTGAGGAAAAAAATTCTATCTTATATTGAAGTTAGAGAAAGACACCATAAGCGCGTTTTCAACTTTTGCAATTTTCAAAAATTCAGACTAAATAAAAATAAGAGCTGCACCATTTTTTAAACATTCTTTGCTCTATCCAAAGAAAAAATTAAATAAATTTGGAGCCATTTTTGAGAAAATGTTGTTAAGGCTTCGTGTAAAATATCCCCGAAAATCAAAATATCCATTTCAAATTCACAGGGTCTTGAGATCAGCCAGATTGATGGGGGACTGTCAATTTTAGGGAAAATCATCTGATGTTAATGCTGACCAGACCAGCTGTTAATGACAGCCAGTTGGACACACAAATAGACATTTTGTCATCAAGCAATTTTTTTATTTCAATGATCTATCAAAACACAGATGCTGTCTACATGTTAAAGAAAGTAATTTCCTACATACAGGAAGATGATTTATGCACATTTTTTATATCAGAACTCTACAATGCATGTTTTTTCTAAAAAAAAATTCACTGTTTTTTCTGCAACTTTACAATGCTTTCTCTGTACTGTATAAGTGGGATTTAAAAAAGATTAAAAAATAAACCTACAAATGCAGATAAAGATAGTAGATGCAAAAAAAGTTTCGATGGTTTAGAAGAAGAGGAAGAAAGTAGTGGTAGCACAGGCACATAACTATGTCATCAAAAAGAATTTTCTCAGTGACACCATTCATGATTTTATTGTGATTGTAAGTAGTTTGAAATATAAAATCTGTTAATGCTCAGAAGGCCTGTTAAAAATTGGGGGTAATGTATTTGGGTAAAAATGGTTGTTTAAAGTTTATAAATTTTAATGGTTAATGGTCATTCTTTTCAATTAATGATGAAATAGAAATTAAAAAGATAGTCTCTAATTCAATTTGAAAACAAAATAGTTAAACTGAAATTTGAAATTGTGAATAAAATTTTGACTATTCTGTAAGATTACTACAATTTGTCACTCCCACTGCTGTGCAGTAATTTTGTATAAAAATTAATTTGCCAAATTCATACCATTTATTTTAAGCATTCTTTAAATATAAATATATCCATTGCAGGAGAAGTCCTTGCAGCTCGGTTTTCCCATTCTCAGAAACTTATGACACAACTCACTGCAATGGCTACCTATGCATCTCGATTACAACTTCATCACATTCAGGTGTCGGCAGGAGTGCTTACATCAGACTTGGTGGAAGTGTATGTATTGAATAATTGTTTGGTGAGCGTTTCTAGTTTTGCAAAGTATATGATTGGTGTGCGATGTTGCAGGCATGCTCAGGTGTTGGCTGCAATGAAGGCCTGGTGCCATTGGCTAGCCCAGATGCATAGCGAGGCTGGCCTCAAGCATATGTATAACCAATTTATAATAGATATAGTGGATGCAACTGTACCTTTGTTGGCAAAACAGGGGGAGCCAGCAAAGCTATATCATTCAGCAGCACATTTGTTAGCAAGTCTAACAATGACTGTAAGGCCAGCTCGATTGTGGGAAGTGGAGTCCGTAAGAGATCTGTATCGGAAGGCTGCTTCACTATCCTATCTTCCTTCTGAGGTTGGCTTCCTTTAATTTTTTAATCTAATATTTGTTCACAATGATTTAGCTCTAAGTGCAACCACAAGTTTCAGAAGCTTATTTTTAGAGGAGTTGCAAATCTTAATATACGAGTAAGGTGTCAGTGGGGAAGCGTAATGAAACTTCAGAAAAGTGATAACCATTTCTGAATTTGAGTTTCATAAATTCCCCAAATTCATAATTTTGAAATAATATTCTAATAGAAACATATTGCAGCGCAATCACCGACTATAAGGAGGTTACACTTACAATCTCTGTACCTCTACTTTTAAGATCTCTGTTTCCAAATTTGTGGAAGATTCTCTTGTAACATCAGATAATTACTTTTTGAAATGTAAAAGAAACTGTACTTCTTTGTTGGCACAAATTTTGCCATTTTTGTTGATTGTAGATTTTGTGCATCATGTTGAAATTCTGAGGTTTTATGGCAGAGGTATTTATCAAATTTAAAATGTTAACTGGTTTAAAAGATTGTGCAAATTTAGTATTAAAGAAAAACAATTAAACTGATGTTTGAAATTTTGAATAAAATTAACAATCTACCATTCTTGTTTTTGCTTTTGCTGGTATTCATGGTGTTATTGTTAAATGCATTAGTGTGTCTGAGAAAAATAGTAAAAAGAAATAACTGTTAAATATGAGATATATTGTGCTCTGTTTACCTTCTTTCCCTTTGTTTGTTTGTAGTCCTTTCCACGAAAGAATCTTAGTAAAGATTTTATTGTCAGTGTATTAGAGCAGTATCCTTTGTCTTCAGAGTCAACGCCTGGTGAAAAGGGCTCTCTGTTGCACTCTTCTTCTGCCCTGTGCTGGACTTGCCGATCAAGGTTGGGACCAGCGGCAGAAACTACTAGCTGCTCTCTTGGAATCTTTGACTATAGATTTCCGGCAGCTTCAGCACTCTTCCCCAGTTTCACCTCAGGCTGCCTGCCCTGTGATCACCAGCACACTTACTCTGTTAAACGATCTCGTCACTGGCATGCAATCTGAAGGTTCTAATACCAGACAGCTTCTATATTCAGCTATTCAGGTATTTTATATTTTTGTATTTTCCTTTGGAATTTCCTCTTCTTTTTATTATGTTTATTATTGTTGTTATGATGATGATGATGATGATGATGATGAGGTAAGATAAATTAATTCTTATTACAGTGTTCAGAAGTAGTAATTCTGATTAGTTGTAATTGAAAAAGATCTTATTTAGCTGTATTAAATATTATTAGTATACTCGTGCAAATTAGAAGCACAAATAATAATGTTGAATTGTCTAGATTTGTTCTGATGCTTAAGAAAAGCATTTTGAATTTGTTCTACCAATCATATGAAAGAGGGGAGATTAATATGTTTGTTTGTTTTCTTTTCTTCTTTTTTGCAGATGAATATTTACCAGACGCTGTCAATGTTTCCAACTTATGTTCATTCACCAAGTGTGTGTGAAGTCATTTTAGATTTTTTCCTGACCGCTTTTGGAGGTCTGCAACAGCAGCTTGGTGCTTCATTTACAGAAACAACTGTCCAGACTTTCTTGGATGTTTTTACAAGGTATACTTATTTCTTTATTAAAGGTTTTATTAAAGGTACTCCGCATCAATAATCTTACCTTTTCTTTCTGTTTGAAGGGAACATCTCTCATCTTCTTTAGGTCAGGAGGGTGGAGCAGGAGCTCGTGTTGTGGACAAATTTTTGCAACTTTTACAACTTGTCATGGCTGAGCCTGGACACCAGTTTAAGCGTTTTGTTCCTAGTACCATAACACTTTGTCTGGATCATGTCTATCCACTGGTAATTTTCTTCCACATTAGAATCATATTTGAGTTAAATACAACAAATGTTTTTTGATTTCTTTTTAGGGTGTTATTAAATAATTATTTCTAAAGTGTGTATTAATAATAAAGGTATTTCAGATTTTACCTGCAGATTTGAGTATGCCTAGCTGACAATTTTGTAGGAAAACGTCATTATTTTTTTTGTTTAGAGCTAATGCACAAAATTTTATCCTAATTATTTGTGTGTTTTCATGGTTTTCTTATATTAGGGCCTTCAAAGTAATGAAACATAATTTAATTTGAGAATGAAATTAATTACAGGTTGCAGAAACGCCTTCTCCCGATATAAAACCTTCTTTGTTTGCACTTCTTCATGCTATTCTAATGCATAAATGGCAATATTTCTATCGTTCATCACTTTTACAAACAATGAATCAAATGGGCAACGAAACAGTAGAACATAGAGAGGAATTTATCAAGATACTACAGGCTTATGGTCAATCCCTTTTACAACCAGATATTAATATATTTGGCCAAAATCTTCGCAGTCTAGAGCAATTAAATAGCAAATGGAAACTTTATCACAAAGTGAGTATATTATTGTTATGTATATTACCATAATTAGTAGTCTCGTTATTAGTATTGTGTGGTTTGGGGTTATTTTTAGTTATTGTAATTTCGTCACAACTGTCCATCTCTAACATCTGTTTATAATAGCTCCTATTCGTGAAAACAACAGGCTGTTTTTCATTTTTAACTCTTAAGCCACCCAGAACACTTGTTTGAAAGCTGCTTAAAAATAGTCCACTTGCTTGCAATTCTTCAATCTTGTGAATCAAGTTTTCAGTGTTTGTGCCAAGATCATGTACAATTTTTCTTCTCAGTTATTAATTAAAAACTGACTATGAAGGCTAAAAATGTTTGGATCTTACTGAAAGTTAATGGTGGCTTAATATTGTGAATAAGTAATGTTCATCAGTAGTAAAATGTGAATGATCTGTGGTTCTATTTCAAAGAGTACCATACAAAAATTAAATTGTTAGTTCATTAATATGATGAAGTAAACATTTTCTCACTCATTGTTGCAATTCCTTGAACACTATTGTCTGAATCAGAATGATCAAAACTAAAATCAATTGAAGGTAACGCAAATATAATGACTAAGCCTGGGAATTTGTTTCTGAAGTCTGTCATTGAGCAATGGCAATCCACTCAGAGTTAATGTGACGTGGAACCATTATATAAGTTCAGAAATTGCAATTTTAATATTGACCATTCAGTGTTAATTTTTGAGACATCTAAGAACCCTACCATAGATTGTTTGTGGTATTTCCTTTGATAATGGTATTTATTTGCTCTTGACTGATACTGTCTTTTACTAATTGTAATGTTGACTTCCCTCATTTTCTGTTTCAGCATTTGTTCGGAGAAGAATTACTCAGTCAGTTTGTGACTGTATTATTACATTCCCTCATTCACAAGTCTCATGCTCTTCTTGAAGAAGAAATTACTGTTGCAATTTATCACATGGCTGCCGTTAACTTTAAAGCATTCCAAAGTGACTTTCTACCACAGTTCCTACGCTCAACTGAGGGCCTTGACGATGGTCAAAGGAGTATTTTACAAAGGAATTTCAAAGATGATGTGGTATGTAAACAGAACAATTTAGCAGGGATGTTTTGTTTTTATGGCTGGAATAGAACAGAACAATTTAACAGGGGTGAGTGTTGTTCCTTTGTTTTTTTCTTTTCTTCAAGGAATAACGGGATGAAATTTGTGAATGAGAAAATTTATTTACAAGGAAAGTAAAATAAAGTGAAAAATGCTGCTACTTATTCATAAATTGTATGGAGATTATAAACACATTTAAACATCCTTAAACAATAATCCTTATCGTGACACAGAACATTCATAATTGAAAGAACAGATGACTTGTGACTGCCAGTGTGCCTTGTTTAACTAAGGCTATACATTACCAGAGGAATTCTTCAGGAAAAAACTACAAAATAATCCCTTTGATATACAGAACACATGGGTATAAAGTATAGTTGCTGAAATAGTAGTGAGTCAATGTGTCAGCTGTGCGATGCTGTCAGCGATTCTAAGAATGTTGGAAGTATTCCCAAATTCAAACATCATTGTATTACTCATTAAATATCGCTCATAATGTTTATTGTCACCGTTTTAGTTTCCTTTTTAGTTCTGTGGTAAACTTTTCCATTCATTTATATTGTATACTGTAATGTATATTTTTCAAGTGTAGATTTATAATATTTTGAATGGAACTGATTATGTTCAGTTTTTTTTCTTTTTTAATCCTTTATAAATAAATGGGAGTTTATACAAGTTGACCTTTGAAAATCACAAGTCTACTTCATAAAGTTTCTTTGCCAACAAATCTGTAGACAATGATTTTTTAAATGTGATTAATTGTAGAACGATTTTTTTATAGTTTCACCAAAGAAATGCATATGGGCAAAAAATTTCATTTATTTAAAAATTAAATTTCTATGAAAAAAAGGAATTTGATAGTGTGTCATGAAAAAGGAACAATGTTGTTGTAATTTAAGAAGAAGCATTCAAAATATTTAACTTTGTACAGATACAGTACTTGATGTCGTAAGACTTTATGCACGTAATTTGTCACAAAATGTTAACAACTTCATGCCATGACAAATGCTTTCGCTCAGGGTTCTCTATTTCTATCTGCATTGTGCTCTGTCTCATGTTCACAAAATAAAAAAGAAAGTGTAGAAGTGAATTTCTGAATAGCACACCAATACATGGTCAAATAATCCCAGTATATTTAAAAAAAATTAGTAGCTGAAAATTGGGGTGCGAGTATTATTTGCATCAATGTTGGTATTAAGGTGGCTCCACACATTCAGTATTCGTCAAGTAGTGAGCAACTACTTGCCGAATCCCACGTAATGTAGATGAGTTGTTTGCTATTTGCAGAGTGACAAACATTAGTTGTTCGCCCTACCCACTGTGTGTCAGTGTTCTGCAAACAGCGAAGAAGGTGGACATTCGCCAAGTACACCAGCTGGGTTGCTGTAAGCTGTCACTCGCAACTTCGTGAATGACAAATGAGGGGAGCCGCCTTTATATGCGCACGTTTTCTTGGACCCCGGAGTACCTACCCCCACCTTTACTAACATTATTTGAATTAAGAATAAATTATAGCAGTGAGCGTGTAATAAGCATGTAATAAAGTAATGGAGCTATTTTTTTCATTACAGCAGGGTGTGGGGGGGGAATTCCCAAGATTCCTTTCTGTAAAATTACGATGCAGATATTATTCAAGGGCAGAAATTATTTGAGTATACACAGAATTCTGTCTTGTTAAGCTTGATTTTCTCTTCGTAGAATTGATTTAAAATCTATTTGGAGTGATCGGCTTAGAAAAATATCACAAAAAATATAAAGGATAGAAAAATGTTCTACATTTTTAAAAACAAAGCCCTAACAAAGATTGTATTTGTTTTCTCAATGAAAAGCTGTGACACATGTAGAACAATGCTAAATAATAAAGCAATGGTGTGTCTGGATGCCAATATGCTTGCAGTAATGACTTAAATCTTGGTGACGGACAGTCTTGATAGGTAGGAGATCCAAACTTTACGCTTAAAGCATCAATTTTGTGATTATCTGGGCATTTTGTTGGATTAATGTCCAGCTTTCTTTCATTTAAATAGATAGATACTTGTGAGTGGGCCCACACTCATTTTGTTACATTACTGACCCAAATATTTATTCATAGTATTCATTAAAACATGACATACAAAATATGCAGGTATGGATCCACGGGGAGGGAAACGAGGGAAATTTTATCCCCCTAAAAAATTTTCAATACCTTTTAATTTTAACTTGTCATGAAACTTTCAAGCAAGAATATTTTTGCTAATCATTAAAGCGAATAAAAAAAGTCATACTGCAGCATGAGCCGTTATCTTAAATGATTAGTTAAACAAAATACAATAATCTAATATTCTAATACTTCTGAAAATTTAATTTGTAATTTTTGTGTGTGGGGAGGGGGGGGGGGTTGAAAGTCTTTCTCTTTCTGACTCCTGGCAGGTTGATTTAAATATTATTCATCTTTTGCATTTCCTTTTTCAGGATCTTCCTTCCTTTACGCAAAATGTGCAGAGATTAGTCAATGATTTACGATGTTATCGCTTGTGCAATTATAGTCTTCCTGCTGGAAGCATTAAACTATGACCTTCTGTTTTATAGAAGTGTGGCATCATGGTATGTATAAAAATTTACTCATTTTCTTCCAGAGTTTTCGTTCGTACTGTTTATTTTCTTCTGTCTATTGGTTTTAAACTCTTAACGTCCTTTTTTCTTACTTTTTCCTAATTTTTTATATACTTGTTTGTATGTAATGAGTTGCAATTTTTTAAAAAAAATAGTATTTCTCATCAGAACATTCTTTATTATCATTATTGACATCTGATTGATATCTGTATTTCAAGGAAAAAATTTATTTTAAAGTCCTTGTAAAATATAGTGGCACTAGTGTTTAAAATTAAAATTCATGAGATATGGGTGCAAATACCTTTGTTGAACAATCTTTGTCATTATTGAAGGTGAAGGGGGGGGGGTGAATGCTTTCAGACCACTTTTTACTATCTCCTGCCCCCAGTGCCAGCCATTTTTAAATTTCCTTCCTTCTTCTATACCATTTATTTTTGTCATGATTTCACATGCTGCTGTAATAACCTACTAAAGTAAGTTAGAAATATGATATGATGATAGAAATAGAAGATATGATGATTGCATTGAAATACACCTGGATATTTCCTGTTTATAGGTAAATTGTTTTATGTTACCACTAAAAACAATGACATCATGTTTTGTTATTCGAAAAACATTGTAACTATGGTAAATGTTTCTATATGTTTAATGTACATGAATAATTGAATTGTAATATACATGAATAATTGGAAAAATTGTACACTCAAATGACGGAAGGATGAGCTCAGTAGGTATGAGGTCCCTTAAATTAAAAATGAGAAACAATTTATTTTTATATTACAGTTATAACCATTCTTGATAAAACTCCACCAATGACAACTTTATCAGTTGCCTCAATTGAGCCTAGTTGGCTTCCTCTTTCAATGTTTCCCCAGTGCAAATCTATTGTACCACATGATTGCTATCATTAGTCCATATTTTTATCATATACTGCTGTAGCAGTAGCTCAATAGCATTAATCATTGAGATATACTTCTAAAAAAATATATCGAAATCTTAAAAAGACAATCTGAAAAGATAAAACATACATTACACATGAATAATAGGCCTATTTTAGCCACTTATAAAGTGAATAAATAACTAATATTTGTATTTTTTTTCCATTTTTCCAGTTGTTTGTTTTTCCTTGTTTCAGAACATAGTGTTAAAATATGGAAAACAGTTGCCTACTGAAGGTGCACTTACCGAAAATTAAAATTTGTATGTCTGAGTGTGTGTGGGTGGGAAGAGATGTTTGAAATGAATGAAGATATTTTTTATGAACTTACAAAATAGGTAGACTAGTTGCAAAAATTTATATTTGTTATTAATGCATTTGTGTAATTTAAAGTGACAATTGTTTCCCTATATGGAGAATGTCGCTCATCGTTAATTTTAAAATTTTGTTATGTAAAATTTGTGTACATTATTTTTATCTGTGAGTTTTGCACAGTTACCTATGTACAAACGTTATTAGCTTGTAATGTATGAGTGGACTGTGAAGTTCACGGATATAGGTTTTTGTTGAAACCTGAAATATTGAAAACCTGATCTTTCTAGAGTGTTCTAACAAAAAGCATCTTCAGTTAGTTTTTTCTAGCTTGAACTCCTTATTTGCAATATTTTTGTTCTGATACGCTTATTTGATTTTTCATGAATTACTATTTATTGTCCTACAAAATAATTCTGCCTTAAGAATGTAAATTCTTATGTAAAAAACTGGTATATATTGTTATTATCAACCTCTCGTATTTTTTTCCATGAAAAAACATGTCACAGTCTGTAGTGTCACAGATAGGAAATCAAATGTTTGTATGTGATGATTGGTTATTCTACTGTGGGAGATGGAACTTTGATATTGACAGTTGGGCAGTGTCTCTACATTTCCATGGCAATGTTTTAGCACAGCCCCCGCTGACCTGCAATGCTGACCATCATGTTCACAACCAACAACATGATAGAGTTTTGGGCATAGGCAAGGGCATGAGTCACTGCTCCCTGTGTCGCAGACTCTAATGAAATATAAGAGCATGATAAGAGAGTAAGCAATGAAGAAGATATTTCATCTAGACATTAAACTCTTTAGCTACACAAAAGCTTCTATGTTTGGCAACTCCACGCCACATGCTCACTAACTGTCAGTACCAAAGAAAGATCTCCCAAAGAATAGTACGTAATGTCAACCGTGAATTTATTTTTGTTATGGTAAACAGCATTAAATTCAGAAACATCTTTGATTTCACTTCAAGGGAATAGTCTGCTCTGTTACGTCAAAACATGCCTTGATTCTTTTTCTCATTTCTTTCTCACTAATGGTTTGGTTCAAACACGGTTCATTTACAGATTTACCTGCCAAAACAAAATAAAATTTACTTAAAAATAAAATAAATGAATGTTATTTTCTACATAGGTTTTGCACTTGAAACTTCTATTTGTTCGACTTTTGTTTCTTGCAATAAGAGATGGGACCAGTATTTGTGCTACTTCTTACTGTTTTGTAGTTGGTTGTATAAATGGAATGCTAAAATTTTATTCATTAGAAACAATGAAAAATAACCAACACTTGTTACTTAAATTTGTATGTTTTTAATAAATATTCACATTTCTTTCAATATTGGTAAGAAATATTAATAGTATATGCATGACATTTCATTTGACAATGTTTATTCTTTGTAATTATCACAAAAATGAAAAATACTTACACAGTGTTGAACACATTTTTTGTGCACCAAGAGCCTCTATTTAATGATAGGATTGATATTCTGTGAATCGAACGTAAGAAAACAGGGTTCCATGGAAACGGCTTGCTTGGCTGACAGGAGATGCTGCTTCCTAGGCACAGGCTGAAACTGCATCTGTGCCTAGGAAGCAACGTCTTCTGGACAGCCTAGTAGATAAATCTAGCATCAAATCATCTAATAATGCAAGGCAGATTCCGACATGACATGAACAAACCATTTCTTTGTAAGTTGCCTCTACCAACTAACCATTTCACTGAAAAATTTACTCTTATTGCAAATAGAATTTAATTATTCAAAGAGCAGACATAATAAAGTGTTTAATTGAATATTCTGAAATCTATCCATTATTCTCAGAAGAAAATCATGCATAGTATTTTCTGTGCCAAAAAATCTACTACCATGGCTTCATTATTTCATTAAGAATCAAATATTTGACCGGTAGGAAAGAGTACGAAACTTGTAGGTTTAGAATTTTTAGACCACGGAGCTCCACTTATGTCTTTGAAAAAAACTGATAAGTTTTGGGAGTTTATTTATTCAGTTACTACATTCCACATTCCCAAGGATTGCTGCAGAACATTGGCAGTGATGTCAAGAAAATCATGATATGTTGAACAGAAAATTGTTTTCTTCTAGTAAAAGTATTGTAGTAATATACATGTATATCTACAAATGAAATAATTGAAACCTTTACTTAATTTTGTACAGCTTTCAATAATTCTGTGGACTGATATCAAGAAAATTATTTGAAATTTAATCACACTTTTCTACTTACATACACATTTCTTAAATAGATTTAACAAACTCCACATCACAATAATGTATTTGTTGAGATTTAATTAAAGTTTGTTTTCAATAGTTTTTATAATAAATGTATCAAAATTTTGTTTATTTCATTCATTTTTAATTAGAATTTAAACATGTTTAATGAAATAGCTTTGTTAGAACTATTTTTCCCAATTAGTGAGGTTTTTGGTAGGGATCAGGTTTTTACATTTCTGACACTGGAGCTTTATGAATTATCTCTCAAGTTTTAAAGATGAATTATGTATTTCAATTTCTGTGATGTTGAAAGGTTTGTTTGTGTTAAATAAAAAAAAATAAGTTCCAGGTTATTGCAAGTATAGTAGTTACCTAATATAATGTTTCAATGCGTTTTTTTCTATTTTTTTAATAAGACGTGTATGTTAATTTACTTTTTTGTTAGAATCTGTATATGATTTGGAATGTTGCATTAGTATTTTAACATTCCTAACTAATTTTAGAAAACAAATGATGTGTATTGAAAACGTCTATCAGATTTTGTTTCAAGCAATATCTTACTAAAGAAATTAAAAAATCTTCTAGTGACTAGAAAACCAAGAATTGGTGACTTACTGTTACTGGATATCTTCTCTCTCTCTCTCTCTTTTTAATTTGTTACATTAGTGGATTGATTTCTTTTCTTGCTTTTTTTTTAAAATTCTCTACTGTTCTGTGGTTCATGTTGTAGAGTTTTTTTATGTCAAACTTTCTTCTGGCAATTGCTAGAGGTATTTTTCTAATTTACTGCTTGTGATCTACAGTATTTTACACTGAAAATAACACTTATCTAGTATTATTATTACTATATTAAAAAATGTTTGAAAATCAAGGGATCTCTCAAAGTTACATAAATCAATATATTAATAACACATGTTATGTGGTACATTTTGTGTTAATTTATTAAATTTAACCTTGGAACTTATTTTTTTTCCCCTTGTAGTTATTTATGTAGCCCATCTTAAGAAAAACTCTCTGCAATAGGCATTTTTAGAAATTTGTTGCATTTGATTGTGACACCCAATACAGTCATAGTTTATGGGGGTCAAAAGAAATATTTGTTAATAGGATGTTGTGTCTCTACATAAGCAACAAATGAAAGTATTACTTTTGTATGCAATGACCATTTTCAATAAATATTTGTATCTATTTATGTTAATTTATTATGTCGTTAAATCATCGTCAATCTTCCTGAAACATGCCTGAACTATTTTCTACAATACTTCATACTACGTCCTACTATATTATATTCATATTCTTACAATATCGAACACAAGTTAATTTTAGAAATTAAATCATCAAGGTTGACATATCAAGAGAAGATACCCAGAGATCAGAACTAAATAGAAACTCTTAAATTTTGAGCAAAAATGATTTTTGTTGAATATCGGGTTTAGTTTAGCTTTGGGTGTTATTTACAATTGACCACTGAAAACAATTACCAAGAATCTGATGTTGAATTGTTTTCAGAATTTGCAGATATTACACTAGTGGTGCTAAAACAGCAAGTAAGTCTGTACTTTTACCCAAATTCTACAAAGATGTTTGAAAAATTGTACAGGGCTTTATTTCGAGGATGTATGTATCGTTATGTATCTTATGGAACAGATTTCGTTAAGGGGGAAAAATTCTATCTTAATAATTGTGGTTGTAGGAAGATTTTTGGGGGATTTTTGCAGTGTTTGATAGATCAGAGTTTTTAATCTTTTTTTTTTTTTTTATGTCCCAGAAGCTGTGTGTAAAAGTCCCCTCAAAAATTAAAATATCAGTTTCAAATTAAAGAGGCCACATCAGCCAGCCACAAAATATCAATTTTGGAGAAAATCAATTGCAATTGAAATTGAAGAGATGCTAGAATTTGTAACCATAAACTTGGTAATAGCTGGCCAACCTGTATGGTTAAGCAGCTAACGTTGATTGCAGACAGACAGATGTTATAGTTCTTTTTTCATGCAGATTTCTCTCTACTCTGTAGCAAGAAAGTTAAAATAATTCAGTTAATTCTGACCGAGTTGGATTAGGGCAACTTGTGTTGCCACTCTTGTTTGACCAGGAGGTCCTAAGAGTATTAGTCCCAACACAGGTTTTTTGACACCACCTTGATAGCTAGTACAAAATGCCTGGTAGAGAATTGTAGAATTTGGTTGCTCTGTTCATTTGTTTCTTTGATCAATATCAGGTGAATTCAAGAGCAGTATCTTAAGAAGCAGGCCACTGACCACATGCAATCTTTCCTTTTCCATACTTTTCTCTACCTGCTCCTTGACAGTCATACACGCTCACTCTGTCTCTCTCTCTAGCACGGAGACCTGTCAGGAGTTTAAAGCTTGTCCCAGCTGGGGCGGTGCCCCACTGGTGGAGATACCTGGAAGGGGTAACCCACCAGCCAACATGTAAACTGGCACCTGAACTCATGTTCCAATGGGGGAAGACACTGCCACCTTCCAAGATGTAATATTCATTGGTAACACTTAATGACTAATGACTATAACAGTAGACATAAAAAAAATGAAATGACAATGTGTATATGTATATATATATATATATATATATATATATATATATATATATATATATATATAAATAATTTATTTGACAAATTAATTCTGTATAATGAGATTAAATTTCCCAACATTTTAACATTTTGTTTTCCTAAATATTCAAAATAATTTATGCAAAAATTGATGAAATTTTATTAGGTTTGAAATCATGAGTGATGTTCAATTACCTTCATTTATGTTAATGCATTTTTGCACCTATTGATGGAGCAACTTGTTAAGCTACTGTCAATCTGAAAGCAAAGAAACAAGAAGAGAAGAATGGAGGGTGAGGAGAGACTAGCAGTCGATGGCTTAAATTAACACCATGAAAATAGATTTAATGTTACAGATCCAGGATGCTGCTGAGAACAATAACATGATAATGTGGATGGAACCTGTTGAATAGAGCAACAAATGCCCACCAAGAAACTGTGAACTGCATCTGAGATAAGAGTATGTAATGCATTACGCCCCGAGGTCGGAGAATGGCGACCGAAACGTCGGCACCTTCGCCATGGACGCGGCGTCACTCGGACAGCCTAGTAAATACTGACTCCGGCCGCGGAAACCTCAACGCTCTCAAGATTCGCATCATCTGCAAAGAGTACTGTTCTTCCGTTACTAATTGTGGAGGGCATGTAGCTTACGTATAGTAGGCAGAGAATAGGGTCCAAAATCGAATCCTGCGGGACTCCGCATGTAAGTGGCAAAGAATCCGTAAGGTGTGTACATAATGTTTCATTATTTCAGGAAGATATTTCTACTCTCTGAGATCATTGCTTAAAGTACAAACATAACCAATTAGAGCAATACCACGAATTTCATATGAAGGTAATTTTGAAAGTAAAATGTTATGATCAATGACGTCAAAAGCGTTTGAAAGGTCTAAAAATATTCCACTAGGTGCTTCATTTTAATTCATGGATGAGGTGACATCTTTAAAAAAAGAAAATGTCTGTTTCAGTAGATTTTTGTTTTCGAAACCCATGTTGGCAATCTGAAAACGCGTCGTGTTTACTAAGAAAGAATTGCTATTCATGCGGAGAGAGAGAGAGAGACAAAAGGGAAATTGGCCTTTTTTTGAAAAGCGCCTTTATCGTACCCGTTTTAAAATATCTGGAAAAATTCCTGTGCATAAAGATACATTAAATATGAGTTAACAGGTGTCTAATAGCGGGCGCACAAGTCTTTTAACAAACAATCCAGAAGTTCATCTAAACCTGCCGAATATTTATTGTTTATTCTACCGATTATTTTGAGAATTTCATTGGAAGAAGTTTCGGAAACGAACATCGTGTCTAATATTATTGGGGAAACGTCTGATGTTCAATTTTGTGGCTGAAGTCCCTTTGTGGGATCGGCAGAAGTTGCTAGCCACTGCTCGGATCGTTCACATTTCTATCGTTAGCTTTTAAAATAACATTCTCTACAAGGTTTCTAGTTATATTTTATACGTTATACTGTTTTATTTCTCACGTGTAGTAAAGCGTCGATGGAATTTAGGCAAGAAATGTTGATAAGTTGAACAGTAGCAGCGATAAAACACATTGTTATTATGTCATTCCATTTAAATTTGAGCAAGAATTAAATAAATTAGTTGCTTCATCTCAGAATGTTCTTTACTTTTGTTCAAAAACGTAAAAATGTTTGTTATAAGTTCTTCACAAAGGGCGGCCATTTTTCTCCTTTGTAGACATTTACGATTTTTAAATAGCTCAGCGCTAGGTTTTTGTTGCTTTTTAAACTAGAATGTATTGGATTCTGTAAACTCTGACCTACAAATCAAAAATACATTTAACTAATGTTTTTATTTGGCTTATATTTGTAACCAAATCTTTTGGACGTTAATGAACATATTTCGATTTTCAGAGAGTAATTTTTTAACGAAGAAATAGTCTTATTTTTTTCTGTGCTTTTATACTTAACAATAAAGTTATTAAAATAACTATGTAAAATATCCATTATAAGTAGCGCACCTGTTGAAAATTACCCCCTCCCAAAATTGGAATTTTAGAAGTTTGATCTGCAATGTTTCTATTGAACAAAATAAGATTTTGAAATTTGCACTCGTAAAAGATCTCTATGATACCAAATTGCAGAATAAATTTCAACTTTGAAATGTATACCTCCATCTTTTTAATATTTTTCACCTTAAAAACGTGTTTTCAGCATCTTTCTATATACAGTTGTTTTAAACCATTCCTTTGTTTTGGTTTTGACTACAGTACCAGCAGCGTACAAGAGACTGTGACAGTTCGATGGGCTATTGCCACACATGACTACGCACATGACACCACATGCATGACAGATGAATGCAATCTCAAAACATTACCTCTTATCGACAAGCAATCACACGTCTTTGGTTCATAATATTCGCCAAAGCCACATTTTATCGCCCCCGCGACTTCGTGTGAGTCAGATGAGCGGCAAGATTATCTTCTCCCCCATACGTCACGTACAGTTTTTTACTGATTTTGACTAAATAAATAAATGTTGAAGCATGGTTGTAAGAAAGTAAACATATCCTCGCGGGCTGATTCATTCAGATCAGGTGACATGACCGCGTACCTCAGCGCGTCAGAGTCGCTTATATGCTGCCGGTACTGCTATGTCGTTTTGAAGAAAACAGCAATAGCGGACTCTCAGTTGGACGCGAGCACTGGCGTTGCATTGATGCTTTTAGTTTCAATAAATAGATAAAAAAAGGTAAGCTCAAAAAATGGATAAACGTGCAAACTTATTAGTGCAGTGTTCGTCTTTTTGTGTATTTTTTAATTTGTACAATCTGAGTAAAAATATTTTGTTCAGAAATTCAGGAATGTGATACATAATATTTGGAACACTCTTAATACAGGCTGGTAAAATATTTTTGTGTTCATATTCATTTTTCATTAAATTACGTTTAACGTTCTCATGTCTTTTCTTGACGATTTCCTTCTATACTGAGAATGAATTCCCTAATCTACTTTGCCAGCTACTCCTAATCTGCTGCGACTAGTGATGTTTTAAAATAATCCGCGAGTGCTGGAGGGTTATTACGTACGTCGAAGGAGAAACAAGTGCTTCACTTATCTGGCCCGAGTGCTCCCCAATGGTATAATTGAAGAAATAATATCCTTCATTTACCCACCTCGAAGCGAAACTAAATCTTTTTTGTGACGTACTAAATTGTAAATAACGAAACTGAATGTTTAATAAAATACATGATAAAAACTAAACTCCCATGATGATAGTTTCGTTCCTGAAACGAAACTAAATTTCTAACACCATACAGTTTCGTTCCAGGGGCAGTATTGTTACAATTTCATAGATTTCTTTGCTGTGCTTCGGACTTTAAGTTCTGTGCACATCAAACAATAACGAAGTGCAAAATCGCGTAGTTTCTTTTCTGTTGCCATCCTCACTACAAACCATAGTACTAAGCCTTGAGCTTGGCAGACGTGTTCTCCCTTATCAAACTTGACGAGCGAGAGCCCAGAATAAAATGCCGGGACTGCATTGGAAACCAAATGTCTTGGCTCAGGTGTCCCGTATCTTTCGGACTGCAAGTGAACTCCAACAATTGGTGGATATTAGAGGCGTATCTAGCTATTCAGGGGCCCACGGCAA